GTAGCGCCCACCTTGTCACAAAGGAACCAAAAGGCAAGGAAAGACAGCATACAATACATCCACTCCTACTCTGTAGACACTAACATTGCCAGATAAAATACAGATGCTCATTAAATTTGCCTTTCAAATAAACAGCGAATCATTTTTTAGTATGCCCCAAGTATCGCCTGAGACATACTTATGCTAAAAAATCATTTGTTGTTCTCTAAAACTCACATGTAACTGGATGTTCTGCATTTTTATTTACTAAATCTGGCAACCCTGAGAGTGGGCCCCTTTTTGTTAAATTCTTAATCTTTTGCTCCGATTAGGGGAAGAAGCAGGACACTTCCAGCCAATGCACAATCCACCAAAAACACTGCCATTTTAAATAACATTTTTCTCCCTGAACAGCAATGTTTTCCCTCCTATTATTCATTTTATAGTGATTTCTACACAATAATAAGCCTCTCATGTGACAAAATAAACTTTGTGAAGTCAGGAATCTTATTCTTCATATTCTTTCATTGACTGGCTGGATCTTGAAGGCATTTTTCATGAACTGACTACCTACTTGCTGCATTGGTATTTCAGGAAGTCAAAACCAGCAAAAGCACCAGAAATTTTAAAGCAGATGAGAGTCAAAAGAAAATATGTAGTGCACAGCAATTTTCTGACTTGCATAATGAGCCATTGATTTTATAATTTTGGACTTGCATACATGTTTCCAAATATTTCTCCATATCTTCCAGGGAATACTTAGCTGGGTTTTACCTGAGGGGTATCAGACACTCAAAGAAACACAGGTTATGTCTAGAAGTCCTTCTTTTAAGTTAGCTTGCCAGAGGAGTAATTCTTCCCTATAACAAAAAAGTCAGCTGGGTGCGGTGGCTCATCCCTGTAATCCCAGCACTTTGGGAGGCCAAGGCAGGCAGATCACCTGAGGTCGGGAGTTCAAGACCAGCCTGGCCAACACGGAGAAACCCCATCTCTACTAAAAATACAAAACTAGCCAGGCGTGGTGGCGCATGCCTGTAATCACAGCTACTCAGAAGGCTGAGGCAGGAGAATCGCCTGAACCCAAGAGGTGGAGGTTGCAGTGAGCCGAGATCATACCATCGCGCTCCAGCCTGGGCAACAAGAGCAAAACTCCGTCTCAAAACAAAACAAAACAAAAGTTGGCTGACCAGGTGCAGTGTCTCACACCTGTAATTCCAGCACTTTGGGAGGCTGAGGTGGGTGGTTCACTTGAGGTCAGGAGTTCAAGACCAGCCTGGCCAACATGGTGAAACCCCATCTCTAATAAAAATACAAAATTAGCCAGGTGCAGTGGCTCATGCCTGTAATCCCAGCACTTTGGGAGGCCAAGGCAGCTGGATCAGGTCAGGAGTTCGAGATCAGCCTGGCCAATATGGTGAAACTCCGTCTCTCCTAAAAACACAAAAAATAGCTGGGTGTGGTGGCATGCCTGTAGTCCCAGCTACTCTTGAGGCTGAGGCAGGAGACTTGCTTGAACCCGGGAGGCAGAGGTTTCAGTGACCCAAGATTGCACCATTGCACTCCAGCCCGGGCAACAAGAGTGAAATTCCATCTCACAAAAAAAGAAAAAGTTAGCATCTCCACTGGGTAGGTATAATTTTATTCTCTTTCAAACAGCTACATCATCTGTAGAATATGAAAGTAGCAAACTGGCCAAAACTTAACATCTTGTAAATCACACAGCCTCACTGTCCAGCTCTCACACCCTGTGCTTTCTTGGTAGCCCCCCTGGAAGCCAGAAATATGGTGGATTAGATTATAAAGATTAACTAAATAGTATACAAATGTACATAGGACCATGGGAAACAAATGGTCTTGTTCTTTCCCTCATAGCATCCATGTTCCAGATGCCAGTAGGCATCACTAGCATGACAATTATTTTCATAAAGAATAGAAAAGTAGGCCGGGCGCGGTGGCTTACGCCTGTAATCTCAACACTTTGGGAGGCCAAGGTGGGCCAATTACGAGATCAGGAGATCAAGACCATCTTGGTTAACACGGTGAAACCCTGTCTTTACTAAAAATACAAAAAATTAGCCGGGCGTTGGGGCATGTGCCTGTAGTCCCAGCTACTCAGGAGGCTGAGGCAGGAGAATCGTTTGAACCTAGGAGGCGAAGGTTGCAGTGAGCCAAGATCGTGCCACTGCACTCCAGCCAGGGCGACAGAGCAAGACTCCATCTCAAAAAAAAAAAAAGGAAATTAATCATAGACTTGGCAGTGCTATGTACTTTCCTGGGGTAATAGTAGTAAAAGTGGGTGTGGTTTGGCTCCTTTAAATACATCATTTAGTCTAGAGATGTGGAAACTTTCTCAAACTGATATATAGGAATATAATAACCCTTTTAGAAAACTTTAATTACTTCATTGAAAAAAGTCAATTTATGTATATCTAGTAGATGCATTTTTTGAAAACTAGACAACATGCACATGATAAAAAATTCAAAAATTATATAAAAAGGCATAAAAGGAAAAGTGAACCTCTCTTCCACCCTATTCCCCTGTCCCCTTCCCCTGAAGCACCAGTGTCACCAATTTGTTTACCCTTCTAAATGTATTCTCTTAATTACAAGCATGTACTTTTTTTTTTTTTTGAGACGAAGTCTCACTCTGTCGCCAGGCTGGAGTGCAGTGTCGCAATCTCAGCTCATTGACATTTCCACCACCTGGGTTCAAGCCATTCTCCTGCCTCAGCCTCCCAAGTAGCTGGGATTACAAGCGCATGCCACCATGCCCAGCTAATTTTTGTATTTTTAGTAGAGACGGGGTTTCACCATGTTGGCCAGGATGGTCTCGATCTCCTGACCTCGTGATCCGCCCACCTCAGCCTCCCAAATGTACTTACATATCGTCTTTAAACATATTTTTATATATAGTGCGTATATACTATTATGCACATTGCTTTTTCCTTTTTAAATCTTTTTTATTATAAAAGTATTATATAAATTAAAGAGAACAAAAATGTATGTAGTATGCCATTGCTGTGCATGGTGGCTCACACCTGTAATCCCAACACTTTGGAATGCTGAGGCAGGCGGATCACATGAGCTTAGGAGTTCGAGACCAACCTGGGCAATATGGCAAAAACCCCACCTCTACTAAAAATACAAAAATTAGCCAGGGCTGGGCACAGTGGCTCAAGCCTGTCATCCTAGAACTTTGGGAGGCCAAGGTAGATGGATCACTTGAGGTCAGGAGTTCAAGACCAGCCTGGCCAATATGGTGAAACCCCATCTCTACTAAAACTACAAAAAACTAGCCAGGCATGTTGGCACGTGCCTATAACCCCAGCTACTTGGGAGGCTGAGGCACTCCAGCCAGGGCAACAGAGTGAGACTCTGTCTCGCAAGAGAAAAATTAAAAATTACAAACGCGCGGGGTGTCCAGGTGGCACATACTTGTGTCCCCTACTTCATGGGAGGCTAGAGGCGGGAGCCGATCAACTTGAGCCCAGGAGGGTTAGGCTGCAGGCAGCCCATGAGTCAACTACATACTCTGCTGCGGGTGACATAATGAAGACCCTGGTGGCTCCAAAAAGCAAAAATAGGAGAGGAGAGAATAAAAATGTAAAAACAAATTTTTTTTACATTATATGAGATAATTCTACCTAATCCTATCCACACTAGTTATGCGCTCGCTTACTAGTGCTTGCGACCTGTAAGATGCCCGAGCCAGCTTGTTGGGAGATCAAGGCAAGTACAGGATCACTTGAGTCTAAGGCAACAGTAAGCTAGGATCAATGCCACTGCGACTCCAGCCTGGGTTGGACAGAGGAAGCCGCTGTCTCAATATTAACTGCTACGATAGTGGGTGATGTTGTAGATTCATTATATCATAACCTGTATGTTAAAAATAGTAGCATGTGTAGAGGTATTTCTTATATATTCATTTAAATAGTAGTAAAAAAAAATATGTAGTGAATGTCTTGTTCTTTGTATAGTATTACCTGAAACATCTTAATCAATTTTTCTTTGAAAACTATTCCATATAGTCGACTCTGGCATACACCCATATACACTGCAGGTGAAGTTTGCTGCACAATACTAAACTATTGAGTGAGTTGGATGTAGCCGGACTAGCAAATCTGATATCTGCAACTTGTCCGGAATTTTTCTTTCTTCTTGTTTTTTTTTTTGAGAGGAATTCATCCTGTTTTTACGCCAAATATCCCAGCGGCACTAGGATGCAGTTGGTGCTGATCTCATGTTTCCCCTGCATCCTCCGCCATTCGCTGGGTTCCCAAGCGCAATGTGCTTCTGCCTCAGCCTCCCAAGTAGCTGGGACTACAGGTGCCCGCCACCACTCCCGGCTAATTTTTTGTATTTTAGTAGAGACAGGGTTTCACTATGTTGCCCAGGCTAGTCTTGAACTCCGGAGCTCAGTAAATCTACCCGCCTTGGCCTCCCAAAGTGCTGGGATTACAGGCATGAGCCACCATGCCTAACCAATATTGATAAATTTTTACTTTTGCTATAGTGGAAGTTTTTTCGATTAGTTTTCCTTATTAGGTAAATAGATTCATATGCCACTGAGATAGTCAACAGATACATACTGAACACTTACTATATATCTAATACAGTTTGCTTAGGCCCAATAATGCAACAAAGAATATTCCTATACATTTCCTCATCTTCAGATTGTTTGGTCAGTTTTCATGTGTGTACTGTAGGATTTGTATTGTCCATTTCAAGCTTTTAACTAAAGACTCCTTCTTTATCTATTAAGACACAAATCTTCTCTCCTAAATTTGCTCAACGATGACAAAATGGGAGTTCCATACTGCTGAAACTTTAATCTATCACTTTGGGAAGATATAGCAATTTCTCTATAAAGATACCCCTGTGCTTACGTATAAAATCACAGAATTTAAGAGGCAGAGAAGAACTTTATAATCATATAGACAAACCTCTTCATTTTATAAATAAAGACAGTAAGGCTAAGAAGAAGATAAATAACTAGGCCATAATCATACTCCAGCTTCTTTTTCTGACGCAAAATTGGTTAAACATACCTCCTCATCCCCTATTTAAAAACCAAAACTGCAACTTCTACTTGTGGTCATGATGGAATAACATGGGCCTGATTTACTCTGTACATTAAGCAACTGAAACTGAGATAAAATATACAAAAGAGTTTTCAGATGTTGTACAACATGCAACATGGGACGATGCTCTTTGAAAGAAGAGAAACAAATCAGGTGAACCTATAATTGCCCCAGCTCACTGCCTGGAAAGATAAACCTGCACAGGCAAGAGAAACTCCAACACAGCCTGGCAGATATTCTGAACCAAACAGATGAAGTTGAGAATCCAGAGAGGTGGAGTCCCGAATTTACAGGTACTTAACAACTGTTGATAACTGTGCCTGTTACCATTTTGAATTCGTAGGGTAGATTACCAGATAGGAGAAAGCTGCTCAAAAAGAGCTAGTTCTAGAGTTGTACAGGGGCTTCCTCTTGAGTCTTCAGCTGAGTACGTGTCAGCGCACACGTGTGAGGAAACTACCTTTGACCAGGGAAAGAGACACCTGAATGGAGCGGTTACTGGCAATCACATAGGAATGGAAATAGCTCACATTCCCTGAATGGAAAAACTTGGCGATACGTGGAGTATCAGGTTGAGGTTTCAGAAAGGTGAGGCCAAATTAGCCTTAGACTAAATGTTGCTCTGCACTTGCCTATCAAAGTTTACATGCGAACCTCAGAAGGCTCAAACTGTTTCCAAGTCACTTAAATGTAAGTGTCAAAATACTTAAAGGATATTTAAATATTTAACTCAAAACTATTTAGCCGGCCACGGTGGCTCACCTCTGTAATCCCAGGCCAAGGCAGGTGGATCACCTTAGGTCAGAAGTTCAAGACCAACCTG